GGGGTGGGGGGGTGGGGGGGAGGGGGGTGGGGGGGTGGGGGGGTGGGGGGAGGGGAGGACCTCACCTGTGGGAGCGAGAGCACGTAACGCCGTACTTTTTTGTAAGTTGCCGTGTCGAAACCAACAGATGATTGTGTATATCGGACTATAAGGTATAATGTCAACAAGCTGCTGCGGGGTAAATATATTATTCTGATGCCATCACCCGACTGAACTGTTTTAGCTCAAACTCGAATTTGATCGAACTTTACTTCTGCCATTTATTGTACCAGGATTAGGACTATATTTTCAGGTATTATCCTACAAACAGAAATGATGACTTAGGGTTTCTCCCACTCTCCACTGACCGGAATAAACTGCATATTATCGCATACCAATACCTATTTGTCTCAGCAGCGCGTCTTTGTGAGCGTGCGTATGCGTATATGTGTGTGTGTGCCTTTGTGCTTTGTGTGTATGTGTGTATGTATGTCCATCCGTCCGTATGTCTGTATGTCAATCATGTTGCCAGCCCCCCAGGCTCCTCTCCCATTCGCGTCCACTCGGACTTGGAGTCTGTCGCGATGTCTGTCATGCCCCCCCCCTGCCGCTGTCCGGCGTTACGGCCCACGGGGAAGGGGAACCTTGTCCAACCCTCCGATGGGGGGGCGTATCCACCATCCACCTGTCTGCTGCTACTGCTGCTGTTTCCTACCGCTACTGCTGCTGCTACTTCTACTGCTTCGATTGCTATTGCTGCTGCCACCCACCCTCAGCCCGGCCCGTTACCCCCGTTACCCCCCCTCCCCACCAGTGATTTGTTTTTTTCATTTAGGGGGGGTCTCAATTTATTCCGTCCAATTGCCCCGGCCCCCCGACCGCAGGGACGAGCTCGCCAAGGTGCTTTCCGCCGTACCCCTCCCCTCCCCCTCCCCCGGCCCCTCCCCCGGCCCCCTGGAGGGCCCTATGCGGGACCGGGACCGGGAGGTGAGTGTGGGCCAGTGGCTGTCCGAGGCGGATGTGGATGCGGATGGCCGCGTGGACTACCGGGAGTTCTGTACCATGGTGATGGCG